AATTAAAGAAAGAGGAGGGATGCAAGTAAAGCCAAAATTTTTGCCCTTCCCTTTCCAGGTCAGTGACAACTCAGGATATAGGATAATCCATACTGTAACATCATGTAACTCAGTTGTGTCCCAAATTTTCTGATCAAGGAGATTATTGGGCCACAGAAGAAAGTGATTGATGATGTAGAGTGTGCGTAAGCAGAGTTACATGGAGAGAAAACATTCTCTCATGCTGTCACAGACAGCAAATTGGCCAAGCAATGGCCGTGACTCATCCACATTGGTGACATTACCAAAAGATCTACAAAGTGTGGTACAGGGTTTCAGGATAAATCCTGAAGGGATTTGACTGACCTTATCAGATACAAAACTACATGTCTTGTTTTATAGGTCTTATTTTATCTTGGTCTTAACCATTCTGCTGAAAAGTATAAAAACAAAGTATAAAAAGTATAGCCATATTTATATGCTGAGGTGTAAAAGGCTCAAGTCAACATCTTCTGACATTGCCAGTCTTATGGAAAACCCACTATTATTATGGACTTCTGGAGTGTGTTGGAATATTTTGATGAATTTACACACCTGTCATATTTTAATGACAATGGAATACCCTTTTCTGACAAAACTAAAGAAAAATGGGCATAGAAATGAATGACTTTTTGTATCTGTGTACTAATAATAGGATAAATATACAGCTACATTCTAAATCAATGAATAGAAAGTTTTGTTCTAAATGTGTTTGTAAACTAGATATCATGTCTGTATTTTGTGAAATGAATAACCACTAAGACATCAATATACAATGTGTTAATTATTGAAACTGTCCTACTAATGGATTTGAAACTATGTCATTGCTATTTGTTTCTCAACAAAATTATTGTAAGGAAATAAATAAATTTAGTCGGTGGCTCATTGAAATTTATTGAATGAACACATATTTTGCAAAGTTAAAAAAGATATTGAATTCTGCTGATATTTCCTTGTTAAAAACTTCCGTTAGTGTTTGGCTCAAAGTAATTATGCATTGTTTGGAGAACTAGGGAAAAGTTTCCCTTACAAAAGAAAGTATGAAATTCAGTTTTTTCACTTTCTGAGAACATAAGTCTACACCAAACAACTTTTCAACTTTGAGTACATTGGCTTCCTTTGCATGCATAAAAATGAAACAAATAGTTTCTGCTCAGGAGTTTGTAAAATACCAGTGCTCAATTCCCTATTAGAATCTGTATTTGAGACTTACACTTAATCTACTGCATTCAGGTCACTCATAAATTGTTTAGTTTTATTATAGGTTTAAAAGAGAAATAAAGTAAAATGAGCATGTTCATAAGCGACTGAAAAGGTTTTTGAATGCTAAATGAATTGAGAGACTCACTAATAAATCTCCCTCTTAATTATTTCACACAGCGTGATTATATATAAGGCATCTTTTTTCAGCATATCACATATAAAACAATAAATTTTTCAAAGACAAAGACATTGAGTGTTTATATACCAGTATCAGACTATGGCATGGGTAATGCCAGATGATTTTAGCTTAAGAAAAGTCCAGGAGTTAAAGGGTTTAAAAAAATTAAGTTTTGGTCTGAAAAGGACCAAATACAAAATTTACAGCCAAAAGAGATATGAGTTCTGAGATTAATGCCTTTGAATGTTGTTGTTATTGTTATTTTGTTATCAGGATTAAATACATGGCCTGTGCTTGCCAGGCAGAAACTTAGGCCACTGAGATCTCTCCCCAGTCCAGTGCCTTTAAAAGGATATCGAGTACTTTGAAGCAAAATGGAAAAAGAACATGCCTTAAAGGCATCTCAGGAATTACTAAGACCCTACTCTTCAAAATTCGGAGGTGCAAATGACTTCTCCTTAGAGACAAGATTCCCTGCACACCTTGCTGAAGAGAAATTACCCTGGTAACTTGTTCCTAGGAGTTCATTTCAGCATATCTAGTCATCTAGATACTGAGAGACCACTAAAACCATTGTTTCAGTCAGTGTTTTTCTAAACAAGCAGAAGTAACACAAAATATACAAATGTATAACAAATGAGAAGATTGACATACGATAGTCATCCACAGAGTTGGATGAAGAAGTCTACAGAGAGGGTATCTGCATGCTCAAGAATTAAGTTTCCGTACAAGGTTTGAAATTCACTGTAGTGTTCCATGAAAGTCTATATCAGGAGACTGATTTATTTCTGAAAATATTGAAGATTCTGTGATAGATTGTTGAAGTGTATGTGGGAAGGCTGAAGAGTTCATCCTGGAAGGCTGAAGGATCTGAGGTGGAATTCCAAAGAAATTCTGCTAGAAAATGAGAGATGACTTTCAAGCTGAAAGCAAAGACTGGAGCTCCTTGGAAGAGCAAAAGTAAGTCTCTTCTTCATTTCCCTTTTTTATAGTCCAACACTCTACAGCATAGGGTGTTGAACTGTTGATTTGATTTAGGGTAAGCTTCTAAACTTCTCAAGTTGACACCATCAATCAACCATTATTTCCATGGTTCAAGATGACCCAGCTAGTCCCCATGAGTGGTAGACCTACTGCTATTCATATGATTCCTATTTTTCAGGCATACAGAATATAAAAATTATAGGAGGTCATTCAGATTGGTACTTAGATTGCAAAGGAGGTCTGAAATAACAGGCAGTGTGTCCCAGATAATTACACGCATGAAACTTTGTAATGAAGCTGAAGGTATAGTGGAGACCACAGGAAGTCAGAGATTCTATAAACATGGAATATAGGCTGAAGAAAGCCAGTGGCCTTGAGTGGAAGAATACCAACAGATAGGCCCCATGGACTTCTCTTAGCATGGCTGTCAAACCTCTCTGGAATGCATATCTAATCTCCAAATGCTAATCTCCAAAAGTAGAGGTTAATCTACTTTTACAATGTATGCCCTGTTAGGTTTCCATTTTACTTTGATTCTTTTTTCTTTTGTCCCCTTATTTTTCCTTTTGAGATGGGAATATTTACCATGTGTCATTATATCATGCAATAATGTAATACACTTTTCAAATATTGTGGGACTCAGCAGGAAAGAATTTGCCTCAAGTCCCATAAAAGAACTTACTTTTGGACATTTCACAAAAGCTAGAATTTTTGAGACATGGAGGAAGGGATTATTATAGCTGTATTCAAGATAGTAGCATTATGTTAGAAAGAATTGTAATTAATTCTCTCTATTTGGATATTATTGTTTAAGGAGAAATTGGATGTTAGCTTGATAAAATTGATGGCTAAGCTTAATTGTCAACATGATTGTGTTAAGAGTGGCCCTGGGAATTAGCAAACACATTTTTGCTTGTTTTTGAGTACATCATTGAGTTGTGACCTTGAGTACTGTATCTGGTTCCTAGCCCTTTTCTTGGTACTTTTCCCATTTTACTTGCCAGCTTCTATGAGCTAAGCAGTGTTTCTCCTCCAAGTCCTTTTGCAATGATTGTGCTTTTAAACCATTTGATAATGGACTGAATACTCTGAAATCATAAGCCGAATAAGCTTCTCCTCCTTTATGTTGTGGGTGTCACATATTTGCCCAATAAGCAGAAAAGCTGACTAATACCAGTATAAGCTAAAACTTTTAGAAATTTTAGAGAAAATATACAAAGTTACAGTGATTTTTCTAACATAATTTTGTGGAATTTTTAAACCCAAACTAAGTGTAGTCATTTCTGTCATTCCAGGAGAGCTAACTGAATGCAGGAATACCTAAATCTTTTATTTTCAAATCTTTTATACAAATTAGAAAGTATTTGTGCATAACTTACAGATCTCCCCCTGTATACCTCAAATCATCTCTAGATTACTTATGATACTTAATACTATTATGGTGATTAGGGTAGAGCTCCAACATGATTGGCTTTGTGATTTGCCTTAGGGATTGATAGAGCATATATCTCTAGGTATGTCTGGGTGAGCCATAGTCTCCAGGCCTGTGTTTTGTTCCTTACCCTTGTGGCTCTTGCTCTCTTTGCTTGCTCTATTTTTCTTCCACTATAAAATAGCAGCTTTCTCTCACCAGGACGATCTACCATAATGTTTCTGCTGCGGGGCCAGCTGAAGATGGGCTGAAGCTGTGAGAAGATTAAATCTCTCATTTTTAAAGTTGTAAAAATTGGAAATTCTGTCCCAGCAGTGAGAAAGTAACTCATACAACATGACAATGTTATATAAATGCATTTCTCTGTGTCAAGAGAACAACAACAAAATAATATTAATTTGTGTGGTACAATCAAAAGATTTTTTTGAAATATTTTATCTCTATGGTTGATTAATTCTAATTTATGGATATGAGGCCCATGGACATAGAAAGACAAACATATAGTACCTTAAATTGAATCAGAGGTGCATAAATAATTTGTTAAATAAATTGACATTAATGAAGATTAACTCCTAGTTTTAAATTGTCCCTATATTTATAAAAAAATAACAAAGCACCTTACCAAGAGATAGTTAATGATTTTTAAAAACAGAAAAACTAGACAAGTCTTACTCCTTTATTTTTGCTTCCTCAATTAAAAGTAAATATATTAACACTGACTTAACACAGAACCTCTCTGATAACAACACATGGAAATGTTGAATTAATAAAAATAAAATTTGAAATATGTGCAAGAACTAAAAGAAAAATTATCCCCAAGTGAGAAAAATAGAGCAAATTGAAACTCAGATGTGTAAGCTCAGAGCCTTTCACAAGCCTAGGTTTAAGAAAAACTTGGATTTTTATGTAAGACCAGACCCTGGAGGCTGGAATCTGAAGTTTTAATGTCCAATTGGAACAAGATATGACCTTGGACTCCTAAAGGGTAGAGCAAGTACTAAGATTTTTGTCTAAATCTCTTTCATTAAAAAGCTTATTAAAAATTCTCAGTCACTGGAGGATAAAACCACAGTGGTCCTAGATGGAATGACAAACAAAAGTCACTGAGCCACAGGCAGGGACAGAATTGAAATTTGCATAACCTGAATGGTGAGAAATTCTCCAACAAAGGCATTGAGTCTAAACTATTCTCAGGATATATTTCAGTGAAGTAAGTGCAAAATATTCTCCAGAAATTGTTTTATAGCTCAAATGTTAAGTTTGTTAAATGAACAACCATCCTTAGTGAAGGATTTGCATAAGACAAGAATGCAAAAATTGACTATAAATGAATGTGATTAGGTACAGTGCCTGAAAAGATTTGCATCCCTGGAGCTGAGGATCATGAAACAATATTGTAATATACACAAAAGAAAATGCCTAAACAACCGAATGATAAATAAAATAATACAAATTACAATCTTATCAATAAACAACAGCAGCAGAAATAGGGAGGTAGCTCAGGGGTGCAAACACTTGCCTGGTAAGCACATAGTCCTTTGTGTTTGATCCCACAACAAACAAACTAACTAAAAAAAAAAAAAAAAAAAAACAAAGAGCAGCAGTAGTCACATTTTGAGAAAACATAAAGAGAAGGTCCAGAAAAAAAAGTCTTTGCATAGAAAAAAAGTATTTGATATATTAGTTTATAAAATTAGAAAAATGAAGAAATAATTAGTCCATTAGGGAAAAAAAGCATGGAGAAAGTACTCCAAAGCAGCCTAAGAAATTGAAGAAGAGAAAACTGTTAAAGAGGGGTTAGGAGTCCATAACAGGAAATAAACTGGACACAGAATGTTAACTATCATAGTTTCTCTTGCTTGATAAACCCAAAACATAAATAATTTCAGGAGCAAAATAAAAGAAAGACAGTGGTAAACAGAGGGGTAGTTTTTTAGATGGAAAGGGAATCTGGAGTTATAGAGAAAAGAAACAGAGGGAAAAGGAAATAAAAAGGGTCAAAATGTCACTTACATATGGAACAATATCCCAAGATGTATTTCAAACACACACTAATAAAATGCTTTAAAGAAAGGACTACAAAACTTGGAAAGAAGACTAAAAGGTTTCACATACCAAAATGGGAATTTGAGGAAAATTTAAAAATTAGCAGTTAACAGCTGAGAATTTTCCACAGTCAACAAAAACTAAATCCTAAACTTAAAGAAGATGAATAATGGTAAACTACAATAATTAGCAGTGTTGGGATAGTTGGCTATGCTCATGTCTATGGAGAGATCAAATTGACCTAACTCACATTGTATGCAAGAATCAAACCAAGATGGATTAATAACCTAAACACAAAATGAAATCTTTCAAATTTCAAGTTTAATATAAGTAAATACTTCTATAAACTTGAAGTAGGAAATTATTTTAAAATATGATATAAGAAGTATAAACCATAAGATAACTAATGATAAATTAAATTAAATTTAAATTGAAGATTTCTGGGGCTGGTGAGATGGCTTAGTGGTCTAAAGCACCTACTTAGAATAAGCTTAGCAAAGCACAGTGACGGTGGTTCAATTCCCCAGCATCACATGCCAGCCAGCCCCACCCCTTGATGGGCTGAGCTGGCCACACACACACACACACACACACACACACACACACACACAAATAAATAAAATTTTTTAAAAATTGAAGATTTCTGTCAGAAAAACTGGAAATAAAACTTACAATGTAGGTAAACTGTGCTAGCATGATGAATGTAATGGGTCAACTCACATTTTAGATTACAAATGTAAATCTTGTGCTTTCTGTTATAAATGTATACTCACCACTGTTCTAAGTTGTTTACTAACTAGTAGCAGTTTCTTGCTCCTTGCTGTGATAAAATTTCTGTAAGTCTCACCAATTCTTGTTAACAAAGTTAGTTTACAGAGATGACTTCAAAAGAAAATTAAATGGGCTTTAATTTCTTGTAACTTCCGGGCTATGCAAGGCTGCCTGCATGTACTCAGGTGCAAATTAACCAGAAACTGAAACAAAAGCCCCAGGAAATGTAGTTTGAGTAGTGGTAACAATCACTCTGAAAGCATTATTTTGTGTCAGACAATGAATTTGTTTATCAAACTCAATGTGGTTCCAGGTTTTAAAACCCCTCCCTGCTTCCTGGGCTGCCACCTTTCAGTCCTCTCCTGCAAGAGAGCAGATCAGTGGCCCTGAGCTCAGTAATAAATGGCTTTCTAAATTTCAATCTGGATGATCTAGTTCCTATTCTGAGTGACACATAACCATGAATGTATTAGAAATCCTAACAGTGCACAAGTGGATATCAAGAGAAAAAAAATAACAATAGATGAATGGTCAAATGATGTGAGCTGAAATTTTACACAATAAGAAATCTGGAAGTCAAAAAATATGACAGACAATTTTACTAATAAACAAAATGAAATGTTAGTGAGATAAATTATTATATTGGTAAAATTTAAGAAGTCTGAAAACTTATTGATGAATAAATAGGAACATCCTGACATATTCTGCTGGTTATGTGAAATTTATTATAATGAAGTAATTCAGAAATTTATAGAATAGTTTTCTAAGTGTGCTATTCCATCTGATAATATTGTTTATATGTAAAAGGGATTACAATAATACTATTGCTTATATGTAAACTATTTCCCTGGGCCTTAAGAGACAAATACAAAGGTATGCATCAAAACATTATTTATGGGGCTGGTAAGATGGCTCAGTGGTCTAAAGCACCTACTTAGAACAAGCTTAGCAAAGCACAGGGACCGCGGTTCAATCCCCCAACACCACATGCCAGCCGGCCCCGCCCCCTGGTGGGCTGAGCTGGCCACACACACACACACACACACACACACATAAATAAAATTTAAAAAAAGAAAACATTATTTATGATAACAAAAATAAAAATTGAAAGAAATCTAATTTTACATTGACAGAAAATGAAATTATAAAATAACATGTATGTAATTTAACATTATACCAAGTGAAAATAAGTAGATCTATGTGACTCAATGTAAATGCCTAAAAATCATTAATTTTGAGGAAAATCCACACAACATTGAATTAGGTACTAAACTATGAAAATGTGCTAAACATAAAATGACTATTATTGACTATTTTTACTTTTGTAAAAATTATTTAAAATAAATGAAAAAGTAATATATACTGAATTGAGAACTAAATGCAGTTCATATGAAAAGGAAAGTGAATAGATGGATCTTAAAACACATTATCACTTTTCAGAAAAATATAAAAAGATCTATAGTCTCAAATAATGTAAAAAGATAAATTTCAATTCATCTAAATTAAAATTGAAAATTACGTCTTTCAAATGACACCATCAAATAAATAAATAATAGATTTATATTGGGCTAGCAAGACAGCTCATTGGCATATGTGCCTGCCTGGCAAGCTCAAGGTCCTGAGTTCGATCCTGGGTACTGCATGCCATGCCAACCTCAGAACCAGCCATGGTAGTGCACACCTGTAATGTGTTACATAACCTATGTAAACATCTCCATTTTTGTAACTAGAACAGCTATTTTGTTATACAATTTTGTATGTTTCTGTTATAACTTATGTGATTGACTGCATTTTATAACCAGAATAGCCATTGTATTATACAACTCTGTACATTTGCACTGTAACTTTATTAATGAGGATTGTTTGGTATAAGCTGACAACTTAAACTCCACCTTGGTGGCTCAAGACATCCATCAGACCTCTGAACACAGTTTGTTAATGTTCAAACTATTCCTTTGTTCTAAACCACAGTGTGTTAAAGGTTAAGATCTGAACTATTTCTTACCCCAGAGCACTCCACACAATATGTCCCGTGATCAACACTGAACCATAAATTGTAATTATTTGTTCCTGAAAATTGTAACCGCATGTTAAAAAAAATGTAACCTGTTTTCCCGAAAGTGGATGCTGACCCCTATGCTGCATTCCCTTGCGTTCAACCTCCCCTTTGCAGTTTTCAGCCTTAAAAACCCTTGTCTTTCCCCTCCTGGGTGTGCTTAGACACGTTGTGTCAGGTGTTGCTGCTGGGTACCAGCTAAAATAAAGTGCTCTTTTCTTTTTGGAATTGTCTCCCAGTTGTCTCATTTTTGGGTTACAACATAATGCCAGCACTAAGGAGGCTGACACAGGAGGATCACTATGAGTATATACTGCATAGCATGAACATGTATCAAAAAGTCACAAAAATGTACATAATAGGAGAAAACATTTATAAATCATAAATCTTATAAAGACAACTTTCAAAATAAAGAATCTTACACTTGGCACTATAAAGAAATGTTTTAAAGAGGGATATATTCATTGTATTCTTAACATTAAAATTAAATACAAGAAACAGACTTCTCTATAGGTAATCTTTTATTTGGAGCATCTGGCAGATGATGTACATTTTTTTAGATAGGGCCTTGCTAAGTTACTAAATTGCTCAGGGTAGGCTTCAACTTGTGATCCTTTGACCACAGCTTACCAGAGTGCTGCAATTACAGGAATATAAATCTCTTCTTTGTTAGGAAATAAAGATATGACAGCACTGGACTCCCAATCTCTTCAGAGTCATGGTCTTATATCTATAAACATCCCACCAGACTCCACTTCTCAGTCATTTTTTTCAACAAAAAGTATAGTTCATTTCAAGAATTCATACAGTTTTATGTGAACACACTCTTAAGCTGAAGCAAATTGGTTTTAATTGTTAAAATGAAATATAAAAACTATTCTTGGAATTGTTTCCAAACAAATTGTGTCTAATTCTAATACAACTGAAATGTAAATCATAACTAATATTTAATAAGTAATTGCATGTGGCAAGGATCAAAGCACAAAACATCACACTCCAACAATGGAGCATTTCTTTCTTTATTTTCTCAACATCCTTATTGCTATGTGAGCAGAAAATTTTTCAGCGACTGATTGGGTTATTTTCTTGGCATCAGTAGTAGGCTCTTGGTGAAATGTCTTCCAGAAAGGCCAACTGGTGTGAAACTTTCAAAGTATAGATAAACTCAAGGACACTGCTGCCCTGACTTGTGTTTTTATAGTATTCTTTCCATCAGCTTCAGTCTGGAATGTACATGGCTGATAGTGTGTGCTCAAGATTTTCATTCTTAAGCACAAGTAAGAGTTCAGCACTGTAGTGTTCAGAAGGTGGTAAAAGATTTTCTTAAAATCCGGTGTGGTTTGTGCTCCAGTGGCTAAGAATTGAGAATCTGATCAGTCAACACCTCCCTATTTAAACTTCTCAGTTTTCTCTACATTTCTGTCCTCTTCTTCAGTCAATTTGGAAATGTTAAAACAATATCGCTACCATGTCAGACCATTTTAGTGCCAAATGTTTATCATAGTCATTCACTTCATGATACCATTTCCAATTCATTTTGAAACTGTTTCTGTTTAAGTTATCTGTCCCAAGTGCATCAGTTCTGTTTTTACATAATTCTTTGAAAAGCATGGGAGATGTGTAAAAGTTACTGAAGAAGAAAAATTAATCTTGGCCAACAGACTATTGACCAATGTAAAAAAAAATGGCCAATAATTTCAGGCCATCGACCAAATGTTTCAAATTTTTGCCATGCACTGTGCATCTACAGAATGATTTCTCATAAATATTGCTCATTTCTTCTGGATGTAATGCTTCATAACTATCTGCCATTTGAATAACATTAGTGATTAATTGACTGCACTATTATTGTTTGGAGTATGTACATTTGAAAATGTATATAGAAGATCAAATACAACTTTGATCTTTTATAGTGAAATTGGAACCTTGGTTTGACAAGCAGATATGGAAGAATTATTTTAAAAAAGGGAGGCACTGAAGCAAAAATCAAAATCTTGCACCAGTCATAATTTGTCTGACATAAAGCATATCCAAAACAGTTATGATGACTATAATCTCAGTTCAGATTTCTGCATAGTACCTTGCAGTAACATTACCAAGAGTAACTAACTAGAAAAATTAACTTATCATTCTTATTGTCTTTCTCTTCATCCATTTGTGAAAATCTTTTCAAACCAGGTAACTTTGATGCCAACAAGGCCACTTCAGCATTCATCTCACTAAAAATTTTTGAAATTACTTTCTTAGTAAACAATAATTCAAATTGCTACAGTGAGTAGCAATTTGAGTGCTATTTGAGTAGCAATTTCAGTATCACAATGAGTGATATCATTGATGTCAACATTCCTCCCTTGTGTGTCTGTGAAGTCATAACTTTGAAGTTCAGTTACAACATGAATTAACCATTTCATATCATACTTCAAGTCCACTAATGTAGGGCTATTTCCACCTAATTCAGAATATAATGCAGGCCTGACTGTATCATCTTTTGAAGCACTATCTGAAAATGCATTGGAATGCATTGGAATTCTCTATTCCAGAAAAATTGGATTCAATAAATAAATCTTCAGCTAATAATTGTTTGAGAATGATATCATTATTACATATAAGACTGCTAGATTTTCTAGACTATGATGTTTACAGCAATCAGTGTTTATATCTATATTTTGTAGATGGAAATACCACCACTAAGACCAGAATACTACAGGGCCTCTGCGATAGCACAACAGAATAAGTGCTACCTTAGGCAAGTGCTGGAGTCAAGGCTCAATCTCCAGTCCCCCATGCTGCCCTCAGGTGCACTGAGCCAGCAACAGAGTCTAAGCATGATGGCCCAAGCCTGTAATCCCAGCACTGGATAGGCTGAAAACAGGAGAATCACTACAAGTCCAAGTGAGACTCTGTACCAAATGCATTAAAAAGCAAAAACGAAAACAAACCAGCATACTTAGAGTGAAGCATTTTGTTTCAAAATACAATAGATATGCTAGAGTGATATGAACATAATAAAATCTAAATGTTATGTGACAAACTTCGTGGTAAGTTTAAGACTGTAACCCATGAGTTAGCTTGGGTAAATGTTGTAGCCTTGTGGATCATATGTAAAAGTATCTCACCCCTCGAAGCCCCATGTGCTTGTAGGCAGAGCTTTTGGGGCTGGCTGCATCTAGAATGTGTGATAATAGCAAAAGGTCTGTAGTATTAAATTAATCCTCTAATGGGAATTAACATATTTCTGGGTGAGGATAATGGCACCAACACCCTGGGTACCAGTGATACCAATCAATGGGCTTACAACCTGGATAAAATATAAAAAGAGAGAAGGAAGGAAGGCTTTCTGCTGCTGTTTGCTGCTTTGAAGCCACTAACTGCCATGCCACAAACTATTTCTCTTAAGCAATGTTGTTCTTGCACGACACTCTGTCTTGGAAGCAGCCAGCAATAGATTGAAACTTTTGCAAAGTGTGAGCTGAAAATAAGTCTTTCCTCCTTTAACTTTGGTTGTCTGGTGTTTTGTTGAGGCAGTGAAAAAATGTAAAGAAGACAAACCCCAAGTACTACCAGTGAGTATTTGGGGGACAAATAGAAAATAGATTAAATATCCACAGCATTTCCCAACACTATCACTCCAAGGACAAATCCTATTATACATGAGTCTTTAATGGACATTCAGCATCCAAACTGTAGGGGCAAAGTGGTTGAATAGGTATTCTTCTACAAAAGATATATAAATAGGCAATAAATACACAAAAAGTCCATCAACATTCTGAGGCCTTAGGGAAAGCATATTAAAATCATAGTGAAATGTTTCTTCATGCTCATTTGAATGACTATCATAAAAAAATGGAAAAAAACAGTTTACCAAGACTGGAGAAACTTGAACTTTTATAAATTTTTGGTGTGGATGCAAAGTATATACCACTGTTGAATAAAATTTAGTTCTCAAAGTTGTATAGTTATGATAGTGTCCATCAATTTCACCCTAAAAAAATTAAATGTGTGTTCTTCAAAACCTATATGTAAATTTTCACAACTGAATTGTTTATAATAGCTAAAAGTAGAAAGAAAACAAATGCTCATTAGTTAAAGAATAGATAAAATAAAATATTATGTATACAATGTAATATTATTAGGCAATAAATATATATTAATATAGGTACACACTACAAAGATACTATGCTAATTGAAAAAATATAAACAGAGAAATAATAGTTTTAATGATTCCTAAGACTAACTTTAGGGTTAATATTCATCAGCAGGTTTCATGGGAATGGTCATGCTCATTGATATGGCTTATTATGGCAGAAAGATAGGGTTTTAAGTCAACAGCAAAAAACATCTGTAGGGCAAACATTGGATAAAATTAGGTGTCAACCTGAACTGAACTTTGCTAGTGAAGTTACACATCATGTGTCTAGTGACTCTGTGATCTGAGCTGGAGATGTGTTTGACATGCCTTTTCTTGATATACTTTGTCTCTGGCAAACTGTCACTGCTGAAAGAGTTTTGTTTCATTGCCTGAATTTTGTTAATTCTTTAGTCAATCAAAGGCTTACATTTTGTTTCAGATCAAACTTGTGTTTGACCCTATTGTAAATCAATTTTCAACCCTGTACACCCACAGTAACAGTGTATACAAGTTACCAACCCCAGAAGCTAATGTACTGGATTTTCAAGGGATGTCAGCTACTAAACATAGCAAAAAATAATAGACATTCATCAAAAATCACATTGTTCAGATAGCTCA